ATCGTTCACCTGTAATTATTTCTACATATTTTTTCAAATTTATTTGTTATTTCCAATTCATTAGTCTTTTTTAGATGTGAACCTTTTCAGTGTTCCTCGTTCGTTAACTACACATGTCTTTTCAACTTCGCAATCCATTCTCAGAACATGCTTGCACCTACTGCATCATTGCCATGATTACTTCAGCGTTCAATTACCGCAGTTTTTGCTGCACATTTTTTCAAATTAATCTTAAAGAATAGATGAGAAATATTCAAAAGCACTTCTGACATTTCCCTAACAAGTCGTGGAACTTTTCTATCAACCTTACATATTCGTTTGCGATAAATGTTTCTTATTATGACTTTAAAATAGAATCTACAAACTGTTCTCCAAAGACATTGTCTTTTATCATACTTCCCTAACAAATAAGGACGTTTCGAAGAACTCTTATGTTATCGTCAGGACATCAAAACCAAGAAATTTAAATGGCTAAAGTTTCTAACAACATCGAACTTTGATGTTCATGTCTGTAAAACGATTCCGATTTATTTACTTTATTCCCATTTCAACAACACGTAGTTTTCTTAGGAGCGTAGCATTCATAGCCCTCCACAGCTTCCTTTTATTTTTTTAATGTCCTGTCCCTTCAGAATGTAGGCGATCATGTCTCTCAAGATATCTTTTTTTTATTATCTGTGAAATACCATGACTTCATTGGAACGATAGTGAAGTGGATTCCCGTTACCTTTTCCATTTAAAGAATTCAGTCAGAGTAGTCTTTCTCCTATATTGGTTGCCACCCAAGGCTAGAAAGCCTCGTCTACTCTGCTACGCAACACACAACTGGATTGAGAAGAAATGGGTTCATGCCTTTCACAAGGACATTTATGCGAAAATGAACTCCTGAGAGTGCGAAGATTTTTGTTCCGCTCATTTTCATAAATGGATAGCCTGCCTTGAAAACCAACCCCCGAAATACTAGCGTTTACCCAGACTCATTGAAGAACAGATGCCAAGTAGAACCACGCAACTATTTCAGCCACCAAGATAGGCCAACAGATATGGATGGTGTGTAATAGATATAAAAAAAGAAGGAAAATGTATATCGATTCAAATGAAAGATTCAAGAAAAGGAGTCATACACTTTCCCCAGCGCTAAATAGTAGATTATTTTCTTAAACTTCCTGCTAAGATTAATCTTATAACAGACATCCAGCTTTTCCTTTCTTAATTATTTTGAAGCCTCTTTTTCACATTATCGAATAAACTTCTCCAATAAATGAATTGCAATGAATTCAACAGTGAATCGTTTTTGTGTCCATCGGGAATCAGTTTTAGTTTATTTTTATCGCAATGCATAGGAAATATATTTTGTAATATAATAGATTAACAATATTGCAGATATGTGTGTGTACGTGTGTATATAAGAAAGAGAGGGGGAGAGAGAGAGAGAGAGAGAGATCTGTTTAGCATGTCACTCGATTTCATGATAAAAGCGGCCATCTTGTGGTCCTTAAAGTGCAAGTCTGCTTCGCAGTGTTCATCAGATGCAACGGTTTTTATACAAACGAATTCATTAGTACGTGTTAAGAAAGAAGCCGAACGACGCATGCGCACCACAATACACGCACGTGCGCGCATGCGCAAATTAAATGTGACCAAGAAGAACAGAACAGCTTGCGTTCTGGAAAACTGCCGTGAGAAAGACGAAATTACGTAATATATCAGATGGCCAACTGGGTTTCTGCCCCAAAGCAATGGGAAACTTTGCTTTTAATGCTCTTTCCAAATTTCCTTACATCATCATAATTCATATGTTCATTTGCTATCATCATCATCATCATCACCATTATAATGACGTCTATTAACCTATCAGCAGTAGTTTTGGTGATGTTATAATCGCCATGATTCACCTGATCGTTATTTTGAAGCAAGAATAAATTATTATTATTATCATTATTATTATTAGTAGTAGTAGTAGTAGTAGTAGTAGTAGTAGTAGTAGTATACACAATAATTTTGTGTTATCCTCTCTTATCGTAATTACCAGAACTGAACAATTAACAACTTCATTATTGTCAAAAGCGTCAATTTTATCATTAGCCTCAAAATTATCACCAACCCCTTCATTAACGTTGTTGCCACCGTAAAGAGAATCATCTTCATCATCAACAAAAGTATAAGCCTTGTAGATAGATAGATAGATAGATAGATAGATAGATAGATAGATAGATAGATAGTGAAGGTAATTAAATTATCTTCGTGATGACATCAAGTGTCGTTGATACACCGCTCGTCAGGGTCAGATAAATCTATTGAATTTATTAGGTGCTGCATGAAGAACACTAGTCGGGTTCCCAACTAAATTCAAACTTATTCTATGGTAACAAAAATGTTATCACGTGACATTTTAAATTTTAAAAATATGACACTGAAGAGCGATAAATCGGCGAAACTTTAAGTCGGTCCTAAGATAAGCTTTTTTAAGCTTTTCCTTATCTTGACCATTGTTTGTTCTGTTTTTTATATTGAGCACTTTCTTTACAAGAATCTGCTCGCCTTTAAAGCCGTTAAATTTTAGTTATTTACGCATTTTGTTAGGTTTGTATTTTTGCTATTGTTATTATTATTGTTGTTGCTATATATATATATAAAATATATATATATATATATATATATATATATTTTGTGTGTATGTGTGTTTATATCTACAGAATTCACTTCGGAAAGTCATAAACACACTTCTTCCTTAACTATATGCAGTTAGAGTCCTTTAGTCCCGTAAGGAAGTCCATCTTGGGTGTTGGGATAACAAATTGGCCAACAAAAAATCATTTTCTATAAAATGCAGCGCCATCACTTGATGTGGTTGGAACACTTTGCACCTGAAGCAATCTTCAAGAACAATTAAACAAGAGACCGCACGCGCGTGCGCGCGCGCATGTGTGTGTGCGTGTGTGTGTGTGTGTGTGTGTGTGTGTGTGTGTGTGTGTTCATCTATAGACTTGCTTACGATGTGTCGAATTCTTTCAGGACTTCTGCAACCATTCAAAAGACAGTAAATGTACAGTAGCATAATACCATACTCCCCATAGAATCAGCGATTCTACAGAGCCGGAAAAATCATTTGCTAACAATCGAGCCGAATACCAAACCTTTTGATAAAGTTTAACGATACATACTCCGTCCAGTATTTAGCCATAGACGACTTTATATAACCTGTACTTAAGAAAATTAACGAATTAAAAATCATTGTCATACTTTATCATCCAAAATAGAGATAAACTTCTTTACAGAAGGAGTTGTAACGTTTTTTAATTGACATTGATTTTTTAGATGCGTTTATCATTTCAGGTTACGAGGAAGTCATTGATTATTGAGTAATCGGTGCTCATCGCTAAAGTGATTTGTTTGAACATGAAATTCCGTCCTCAAGAAGGATTCATTATTGCCAATAAATGGATTCGTAGCTCCTTTAGTGGTCGCGTTCGAGTGCAACTCTCTCGTTGCCTGGGACTCGTTTAGGCATGATGGAGAAGTTTTGATGCCTGATTCCTGGGTAAAACCTTTCCTGTGTCCTCCTTCGCCCACCTTTAAAATAAGCTCATTCAGTAACCCTCATGCCGTGATCAAAAGTTTAAAAAAAACATTCTCTGATGCATTCATTTAATATTAAGCTTACCCAAATAATTTGTGATCGTGTCCACATCAAAAACTATTGGTATGAAATTGCTTACTACAAATGAACAACAAATACGACTTCTGTATATCTACCCCCCCCTTTTCTTCCAGGTCTACACATAATACGCTATTGGTCAGAGCGAGTCAGAATTTGTTTCGATGTATCATTAACAACACGTTTTTAAAATTTCAATTCATTTTGCATGATTATAGTTCCAGTTAAAACAAAGATAAGTAGATTTCCCTATTTTCTTTTTAAATCTAAACTCCCATTTGTCTTGAAAAACATACATGCTTGACAAAAATTTACTAAAATATCCTCTTAACCGAAACCTTAAAAGCGTGAAAGTCATTTCATTAGTAAAGTGTAAAAGTCAATTTGTCCAGCGTCCAGTTAACAGATTTGAGAGAGACTGAAAATTTCAAGAACGTTTAAAATATAAATTGCTTAAGAGAATGATCACTTCTACTCAGAATCGGAAAAGGACAGATGAAAATCTTTGGACACATAATGAGTAAGCAGAGTTTGGGAAACTTAACCCTCACAGGCAAGAGAGATAGAGGAAGGCAGGGAGCCATTTACCCGATGAGCTGGTGTAAAGAGATGATGGAACGTGGGTCGGGACCCTTAGCAAAGAGAAAGAAATTGCTAAGTGCCACAAATGAGAGGAAGTTGTAGAGAGTCTATTTCATGATTGGAGGCGGCACACAGAAAAAAAAAGAAGCATTGATAATCTTATAAATTCAATTGCCCCTACCGTTAATATTCATAGAATATCAGGATATACACATATATTCTGTAGATTTCCTAATGTCTTCATCTTTAACGTTCGTATTAATAATGTAATAAAACGTTTTTTTAACACTAACCTTCCCTATTCATATCGTTTCCTCTTCTTCGTATAAACGTCGGGATTTCTAACATCCATAAATGTATCAATTCTATGATCCCAAACATCCCTGCATCTGATCATTGATGGGATCACTTCCATGAAGACACATGTACAAATTAGGATGCACATTGTAGAGATTCATATAAATGTTCGTCTTGGGTAAGACGATAAACTACATCCAACAAGGCCTCTGATTAGGTTTTGAGGATCGTGGAACCACCTCTTAATTGCTAGTTTTCCCAGGTCCAGCTATCGTCCCTAAATGTCAGGAATCCTAATGTCTATGTTCCGCTAGATACTATGATTGCTATCATATTTCATTAAATGCCAGTAATGTTATCGTCCACAATTCATTTCATGTCAGGATTGCTAACGTCCATCTTTACCTAAATTATCAATCTAAATATCGTCTCTATTCCACTAAATGCCAGGATTACTATCGTCCATATTCTATGAATTGTCAAATTGCTTATGTCAAAATCCCGTTAAATGACGGAATCGCTATCACCCTTTAAAATGTCAAATTCATGCAAATATCAAAATATCTCTCGAATTTTGATTTTTTAAAAATTCGCAATTCTTCTTAGGTTTTCCGGAAAATATAAAATATCTACATCATATTTTTTTTCATCTTATTTGAAATTCTGATGTATTGCAAATGAGATTCCATCGCAGCCTCATCTCGATATGCCATCCGCGCTTTCGACAGTTCAGATTTATCTCTTGGTGAATTCTAACATTTCCCAAAATTAAACTTGCCACTAAAAGAAAGATTTCAGACAGTAGACGCGATTAAGTAGAAAGCGACAAGACACCTGATTCTTAGGGAAGAATTCGTAAGGGGAGGATACTTAGGGGAGGATTCTTACGGGCGGATCCTTAGGGGAAGATACTTAAGGGAGAATTCTTACCGAAGGATTTTTAAGGGAGGATTCTTACAGGAGGATTCTTAAGAAAGGATTTTACGAGAGGTTTCTTAGGGGAAAAGTCTTAGGGAAGGATTCTTAAGGTAGGATTCTTAGGAAAGGATCATATTCTTAGGTGAAAACTCTTAGGGGAAAACTCTTAGGGTAAAATTCTTACGGGATGATTCTTATCGAAGATGCTTAAGGAGAGTATTATTAGGGGATGATTCTTAAGGGAGGATTCTTAGGAGAGGATTCTTATTGGAGGATTCCTTGGGAAAAATGCTTACGGGGGGATTCTTAGGGTACGATTCTTAAGGGAGTATTCTTAAGGGAAAATTCTTACGGGTGGATTCTTAGGGGAAGAACCTTACGAGAGGATACTTAGAGGTGAATTCTAATTGCATGGAATATTAAGGGAGGATACTTAGGAGAGGCTTCTTAAGGGTGGATTCTTACGGGAGAATACTTACTGGAGGATTCTTAGGGAAAAATTTTTACAGGATGATTCTTATGGGAAGAATCTTAATGGAGGATTCTTAGGGGAGGATTCTTAGGGGAGGATTCTTACAGGAGGGATCTTAGGAGAAATTTCTTAAGTGATGATTCTTATGGCAGAATTCTAAAGGGAGGATCCTTACGAGGGGATTCTTAGGCGAGGATTCTGTATGGAGGATACTTAGGGGAGGATTTCTAATGAGAAAATTCTTACTGGAGCATTCTTAGGGAAGGATTCATACGGGAGCATTTTGGGGGAAAGTTTCTTATGGGAGGAACCTAGAGAGCGGATACTTTGGGGAATATTATTCGCGGGGGAGTGATTTTCCTAGAGGAAGTTTCGTAGGTGAAAATTCGTACGGGAGGATTCCTAGGGGAGTATTATTAGGGGAGGATTTTTAAGGCTGGATTCTTAAGGGAAAATTCTTTGGGGAGGATTTTTAAAGGGAAAATTCTTTGGGGAGGATTCTTAGTGTACGATTCTTAAGGGAGCATTCTTAAGGGAAAATTCTTACGGGTGGATTCTTAGGGAAGAAACCTTACGAGAGGATACTTAGAGGTGAATTCTAATTGCAGGAATATTAAGGGAGGATGCTTAAGGTATGATTCTTATGGGATTATTGTTAGCGGCAAATTCATAAGAGAGGATTCTTAGATGTGATTTCTTACGGGAGAATACTTACTGTAGGATTCTTAGAGGAAAATTTTTACAGGATGGTTCTTATGGGAGGAATCTTCATGGAGGATTCTTAGGAGAGAATTTTTACGGAAGGATTCTTACGGGAGGATTCTTAGGGGAGGATTCTTGGGGAAGGATTCTTAGGGGAGGATTCTTAGGGGATGTTTCTTAGGGGAGGATTCTTCATGGAGGTTTCTTAGGGGAGGATTCCTCGGGGAGGTTTCTTAGGGGAGGATTCTTCGGGGAGGTTCCTTGGGGGAGGATTCTTCGGGGAGGTTTCTTAGGGGAGGATTCTTCATGGAGGTTTCTTAGGGGAGGATTCCTCGGGGAGGTTTCTTAGGGGAGGATTCTTCGGGGAGGTTTCTTGGGGGATGATTCTTCGGGGAGGTTTCTTAGGGGAGGATTCTTCATGGAGGTTTCTTAGGCGAGGGTTTTTTCTGGGAGGTTTCTTAGGGGAGGATTCTTCGGGGAGGTTTCTTAGGGGATGATTCTTAGGGGAGGTTTCTTAGGGGATGATTCTTCGGGGAGGTTTCTTAGGGGAGGATTCCTCGGGGAGGTTTCTTAGGGGAGGTTTCTTAGTCGAGGATTCTTCGGCGAGGTTTCTTAGGGGAGGATTCCTCGGGGAGGTTTCTTAGGGGAGGATTCCTCGGGGAGGTTTCTTAGGGGAGGATTCTTCGGGGAGGTTTCTTGGGGCTGATTCTTCGGGGAGGTTTCTTAGGGGAAAATCATTACGGGAGGATGCTTAGGGAGGGATTCATACGGGTGGTTTCTTAAGGGAGGATTGTTAGCGGAAAATTCTTACGCGAGTATTCTTAGGGGGGATTCTTAGGGGAGGATTTTTGGGGGGATGATTCTAAATATAAGTAAGACGCCATTGTCATATGCTATTTTTTGTGTTTGTTTTTTTGTTTTTGTTTTTCCGTTAATAATAAATGTTCTGGATTTCCGTAATGACCACATATTTCACTTTGATTTTGCTCAGATACGCAGGATTATATTAAATGAATTAACTTTTCTTTGTTTTTTTTAAGTTTAACATTTATCAAACTAATATCAAGTAAACATTTCTGAATGTTAAACCGAGTCTCCATCGACTGACTGACCTCAGAATAATGAATCTTTCCATTACACGAGTATAGACAACATGTGAAAGAATTAAGTAGCCACCCACAAAGCTAAGATATTGTGTTCACGACGTGCATTTCCAATAACTGCTGATTTCATCGTGAAATCGTAATAAAAAATCGTGTAAAATAAACTGGTGAATAAAATAATGAAAACATTGCAACATTTTCGATCTGACATTTTCAGCTCAGTTACAAATTTCAAATGAAAAGAAACAAAACAAAAATAGTGGATATGGCATTTTTTAATCATAGCACAAATTTGTTCTGTTCAATTTGCGAGGCTTTTCTCACCCAGGTTTTTGTTGTTGTTATTGTTGTTATTGCGACTGCTTTTTTTTTTTCTTTTTTTTCCTGTGAATAGGAAACCGTTTGACTTTGATGCGGTTCCCGCGTTGCATGTGTTGAATATCGTTATCTTAATGAAGCAAGCCGACTTAGAAGGTAGGTGGAGCCGTTGAATTATGGCCAAAGCACAACTGCCATTTCTAAATATTATATACTAATATGTATTTTTATACTCTTACCCCCAAAATCTTTTTGCTTTCTCTTTCATCTTCCTCTTTTCTTTATCGACCATTTTTTATTGTCTACTTTTTCACGGATTTCCTTATTATTATTCATTTTTCTTTCTTTTTTTCTTTTTTTTTTTTTCTTTTTTTTTTTGCTGTCTTCATTATCTTATTCTTCTTATTTTTCATTATCTTATTCTTCTTATTTTTTCAACATTTCTCCGATATTTGATTTCGAAAATGTCCGTTATAACATCATCATTTTTATTTTTGTACATCAAAATTCTCGATTTTCTGATGCCAAACGTGATGCAGTTATTTGCTTCCCATTCATTTTTCTTTCTTTTACAACTAGCTTCGTTTTCATTAGTAGACTAATTCCTCCTTATAAAAAATGTTCAAAAAATAAAAAAAATAATGTTCCAATAAAGATCCTATAGAATGCAGAACTGGAAAACATCCAGGAATACATCTCCTTAGCACAGGGGAAAGCATTAAAGAAAGACGATAAAAATGAAATAAAACGATGTATATCTGTATATGCTTAAAACGTAAAGTATCTTAACAAAAAACAAAATCGACAAAACTTAATGAAAAGCGCAAGCATTGAAAGCCACCACCGGGATGTGGAGGGAGGGAGAGTGGAGGGGGTGAGGGTAGGTGGGGGAGAGTAAGGGAGGAATACCCCCCCCCCAGCCAAAAAAATAATCTCAATCGTGTCAAAATGGAAGTGACTGAGACACAAAAAAAGAAGACATAACAGGTGCGTGGAAATGGTTGCTTGCGTCATTTGAAAGCCAAGAAATTTTTAAGAATCCAGACATCTGGAGAAATGGAATCAGGAGTCTTACAGCTGGGACATGGAATGAAATAGTACACAGTCACAGATGTCATATAAGGCCTTTGTTCATCAGGGGGACGAGAATTGGTTTCTGCCGATCAGGACAATGACGATGATGATGATGATGATGATGATGATCACAAATATACTGATGATGACAATGATAACGATGATAATAATATTTATGATGATGATGACCATCATACTGATGATTATACTGATGATGATGGTGATGGCAATCATGTTAATGATGACAATATTATGAAGACAATAATAATTATATTTATAATGATGATGATGACAATGATATTAATGATTATACTGATGATGATGATAATGACAGTGATGATGATGACAATGATATGATAAAGATGACAATGATATTATGACGATAACAATGATGCCAATGATACTTATAATGATGATGATGTTAACAATGATACTGATGATGATGATGATGATGCCAAGGAAATTTATGATGATGATTACAGTGATATTTATGATTATGACAATGATATTGATGACAATGATATTTTTATGATGATGATGATGATGATATTTTTGATGATAATGATGCTAATGATACTTTTGATAAAGATGATATTTTTGATAATGATGATGATGATGCCAATGATTTTTTTGATGATGATACTGATGATGATGCCAATGATACTGATGATGATTCCTATTATTTTTTTTTCCATTCGATATCAGTTGAAATGATAAGAAAGCACAACAAGGCGGCGCAATTTATTGTGAACTCCGTTATTTTTTCAATGGCTACATAGCATGCGCCTCACCAGAGATACGCAACTGGTTTTAAATTCAGTTCTTCTTCTAGACTGGTTGCCAACCACGGCTAAAGAAGTCAGTCTGAACTGCTAGTTAACTCATAGCTGAGAGGGAGGAGATTGATTCATACCTTTCTGAAGGGCATTTTTGCAAAAGTGAAATTAATGAACACGTCCGAAATTCGAAACCCTTTCACCTATTCCTCTTTCTGAGTCGCTAACCGTTGCACTACGCGCACGTCCGCACATTCATATTAATGCCACTGCGTTGTAGATGGAAAATATATGCATGTCTTTGGTTTTGAGTGCAATTCTCACTGCGCAATCTCCTGTTGTGTCCTTCTGCCAAAATAAACCGATTATTCCTCCCCTATCTCTCTCTCACACACACACACACTATTTCTTTGTCATTGTTTCTCTCTCTCTCTCTCTCTCTCTCTCTCTCTCTCTCTCTCTCTTCCCTCTCTTTTACGCTCTCATTTTTTCTTTCCATCCACCCCTCTCTTTCTCTTCAGCTTCGTTTCACCCACCAATTCATGCAATAGTAATTACGATAATCCTTTTACGTTCTCTTCGCAATGCTCCTCTTCCTTCTTCCATCAAAATGGTGCCAAAACTTTATCTTGTTAACCAAAGAAAAACGAATCTCACCAAGTACATTTTTACAACTCTCTTCCCCACACAAAATCACTCTTTCCTATCGGAAGCCAAAGCAAATATCGCCCGTTCCCCCATCTGCTTTGAAATCCCCTCGCCTCGTAGCAAACATTTTTTTATCACTAAACAGCGAATTAACTCCAATGCAAACACGCCTAGCTGTTCACATCAACCAATCAAAATGTTTTGCAATCTGAGAAAGGATAGCAAATTATCTTTTCAAAAAGAGTTGCAAATTCGTAATTGCGGCAAATTTCAAACTATTACAATATATATCCAAACATATGCTGGTTTACTACAACCTGTTTATATATTTCAACCCAATTCTTTTACATATACACGCACGCGCGCGTACAAACACACACACATGTGTGTGCGTGCGTACGTATGTAAGTGCAAATATATATATGTTAAGTTAAATTATTTTGGAATAGTAGTTGTTAGGGAGATAGTATGTAGTATTATGTCTATATAGTGTCTGTTTTTATCAAGTTTATTGTTATTGCTGCAATGGATAGCGGCTTGGATTGAGGAATCGGAGAACCGAGTTCGAATTCCAGTCGAATCCATTACATTCATTTAGGTGCTAATATCCTTGGGAAAGGTATGAATCCTCTTCTTCCCCCCCCCTCCTCAAGCTATGGGTAAATAGCAAGACAGACTGGGTTCTATAACCTTGGATTGCAACTGGTCTACCGCAGAAAGAAATGGCAACCTACTGCTGGAAAAAAATCTGTCACGTCAGTCATGTATCGAAAGATACATGATCGCCTACGCGTGTATCCCGCATGGCACATAAATGGCTATTGTTTTTGTTGTTAATAATGTTGTTATCTTTCTGCAGTTGTATATTTTGTATGCCTTTTGCTTAGCATTATGAATAAAATAATGTGGATATTAGAGGTTTTTGAACGTGTTTTCTATGAATATTTCTTCTAGATAGGCATTGGGGGCTGAAAATAATTACTCCTCTTACATAGAATCCTATAATTAATCCAGATTTTATTCTGTTGCAATGGTGGGAAATAGAAATTGATAAAGCCATTCTTGTTGGTAGATTTTCTGTAAACCTATAACAACAATAACAATGTCAATAAACTAAATAAAAACGGCCTACGTACTACCTCCCTAACTATTCACTATTCAAAACAAATTATCCAATCTTACCAATGTCAAAATAATTACAACCACTCAACTAGAAATGGTACTCGGCTTTTTCGATTAACAATACCGAGCCATTACATATGACACCACCCTCACATTCAAGCTTAGATCACTGGTATTCCCAAGCGGTCACTAATCAAACTACTGAACAGGCTCGGCGTTGCTTAACTTCGGTGTGGCCGTAATATATATATATATATATATATATATATATATATATATATATATAGGACGAAACGGCCGTTCAGTGCTTTCTGCATTCTGTTTAGGTTTCTTCTAGATTCGATGAATTACTTAATTATAATTATCTCAAATCCTCCTAATTTCTATCACTTGTATATCCTTGCTTGTACCGACTTCTAATGCTCTGGATGGAGCGGCTTGGTGATATTTGTCGTGGCTCGTGGGGACACAGTCCTATGGGTAAAAGAGAAACTCGGATGAGTTCCACCACGGAAACAATGTTAATGGACAAACCACCGGGAAACCTCACAGAAGTAAATAATGTCATAAGCGGCTACTGGGAAGCTTGGTGCGAAGACAATGAAAAGATCAAACAACAGAAAAAAGAGAGCCAGCTTGAAAGGCAAAATTGTGCCAAAAATAAAAGAAATGAGATGTGAGATTTCAATACAAAATGAGATCACAAGAAATGTCTCAAAAGGCAAATGCAGGAAGATGAAGCGGAAATATAAAATTAAATCACTAAATGAAATTCCATTAATCAAGGAAATGCTAAAACAGAAAGTGAAGTTAAAGGCACATAAAACAAGACGATACGAAAAACGCTGTAGGTTCTATCGCCAAAATAAAATATTCCAAACAGACCTTAAGAAATTTTACAGGGAAATTGAAAAGGCAGCCAAACCTGTCAAAAGGCCATCATCTATTGACAAAGGGCAGAAAATTTGGGAGAATATTTGAGCAGCACAAAGAAATGTAACCCCAATGCAAAATGGATGCAACGTGAAAAAGAAGGAATGCTGGATAAAACTCTACAAGAGTGGGAAAATATAACCATATAATAATGTTAAGCAAGCTTTAACGAAATTCCCAAAATGGAAATCCCCAGGAAATGACAAGGTGCCCAATTTCTGATTCTCATCTCTCACCAATCCATATAAAACCCTTGAATGAAATCTATCAATGCTTATTAATAATCCCAATGAAATCTCGGAATGGATCACTGAAGGTATTACATATCTCATGCCAAAAACGAGTGAAACAAATGACACGAAAAACTATAAGCCAATAACGTCTTCCCGCCACGTATAAATTGATCACGTCTGTCCTGACGAACCGTACCTACTTTTATCTCGAAACAAACAACATTTTTCCACTGGAACAGAAAAGTTGCCGGAGAGATTCATATGGTTGCAAAGATTAACTATTGATAAACAAAATGATCCGGGAAAATTGCAGGAGACGATGTAGAAATCTTAGCCTAGTATGGATAGATTACCGTAAAGCCTTTGATTAGTGTGCCATATTCTTGGATTCTTAAGACTTCGGAAATATACAAAGTCTCCCCCGTGATAGTAAATTTCCTTAAACACAGCATGGGAATCTGGAAAACCACATTATACTTAAATCTCACCAGAAGAACTGTCATCTTCATACGTCTTAATATCCGACGAGGAATCTTTCAAAGAGACTCCCTGTCACCACTTCTGTTTTGTCTGTCCTTAATCCCGCTTACGCGTGAACTAAACAATAATAGCTATGGTGACAAACTAAACAAGAAAGTACTCAATCACTTACTCTACATGGATGATCTCAAACTCTTTGTCAAACACGACAATGAATTGAAGAGTCTCCTCAATACGGTAAAATGTTTCGGTGACGGCAGTGGTATGAATTTCGGATAGGATAAATGTGCAAAAGTAACATTCAAGAAGGGGAGAATTACAGAAATACACTCAATAGATCTAGGGTTTGTTACAAAGATTAGGGAACTGGAACAAAAAGAAGCCCATAGGTGCCTAAGAATTAGCGAAGGAGAATGGTATACAACATACCCAAATAAAGGAGAAGGTAAGAAAGAAATACTAGAGGCGTGTGCGTCTGGTACTGAATATCGAGCTGAATTTAAAAAAAACAGAATATCAGCCATAAACACCTTGGCTGTCTCTGTGATGCAATATAGTTTCAACCTCTTTAACTGAACTATAGTTAACATTAAACGAATGGAGGTCAAAACGAGAAAGATTCTCACTTGCAACCGCAGGCATCATCCCAAGGCTGATGCTGATCGTCTGTATGTTCCCAGATCCGGAGGAGGCAGAGGATTAGTTCAACTAGAACTGTCTTACAAAACGCCAACAACTGGCCTTCAAAGATACCTGAAAACTACAGAAGATTGGATGATGATTTGTTTCAAAGAACATGAAAGTAGTAATCGGCTTTATTCACTAATAAAGGAATCCAAGTTGAAAAAAGGACTTTCAAATGGGTGAATAAATCAAAGTAAAGGGACAATACGCCGACTGGAGCAGCAAAATACTAAGAAAAGAAAAAGGCATTAGAGAAGGTTTAATGGAACTGAATATTCAAACATAGAAGATCTCTGGGAAGCAATAAAAACTGATGCAAATGGTGTACAAGTTGAAAGATTAAAGAAAGACCAGGAGTTCATATTAAAATAATGAAATAGTAATTTATTCAGATAATTAAAATATTCTGTTCGTGTTTTAAATATCTAAGAGACTGCACTCAACTGCCGATACTACCATGACCCACCTGAAACCTTTCACAGAGTTTTTCAATAGTGATTCTTCTTTCATCTGTAATGAGAACATCAAACTATTTAACCTTATCCTCATTCGCAAAAGCAGCAGGCTTTACACTGCAGGGACTATATCTCTAAAATCTGATTTTCTATTCTTGAATGGTTATTAACGCTACTAACCTGGCGTCTTACTGTGCTTACATCAAGGGAAGCCTTATCTATAAACCTTTAATAACCTCTTGTCAATGTTGTCAGTAGCTTCTAGTTCAAAATGCAGAAATTATTTGACAACATTTTGCTTTCTATTTGCATCCAAAGCGGCCAAAAATTTTGAGGAGTTTTGAGTAAGAAAAGGAAAGCTAATTCACCAAATACGTTACCCTGGGTTCCAGAGAGTTTCTGGTTTTTTAGATAAAAGAAAATAAGAATTCTAATACATTTTAATATTAAATTAGAGCAAAACTTTTGATTTCCCCACGTACTTTACAATATAAATCATGTTATATCGATTTAATGCATACATTGATAATTGGTTTTGTTGTTTTGTAATCGATCATCTTGGCAAATGCCTTGAGCAACCGAAGAAGACAGATTTGACAATAGTCTCGGATTATAATTTATTCCATTTCAACTGATATCGACTTTCCTTTCTAATTTTGATTTGTTATCAATGTTACGGATTGTCACGTTGCTCAGCGACGATTGTATCAGAACGTGTCAGACACGTGTATCAAGATGAGATCTACTGCATGTGACGATCACAACTGTCAAGTTTCATGATGAAGGTATAGCTCATAAGGGCGCGCGCGAACACATACACACGCACATATATATATATACACGTGCGCGCACGCACAGAATCGAGTAAATATTGTTGTCTGGCTAGCTACATATGTATACAAATATAAAATTATAAGACTGATAGATATATATGAATAGACTGAGATAGATAGATAGATAGATAGATAGATAGATAGATAGATAGATAGATAGATAGATATGAACAGACTGAGATAGAGATAGATAGATAGATAGATAGATAGATAGATAGATAGATAGATAGATAGATATGAACAAACTGAGATAGAGAAACATGATACTGTAAAGTTATTGCGTGATGGCCAACCAAATATTGCAAATAGCAAACGCGTTGAATATGGAATAGAAAATAATCAAAAAAGAAAATTAAAACATTTGCAAGAACAAGAAAAATGTCTTCAAGGATGTCTAAAAAATAAAATTACAATAACCAAGAAAAGTGAATTGATCAAAAAGAAAATATTTAAAGTTCATGTTTCCAGAAGAAACGTACAGAACATCGACTAAAGGCATGAAAGCAAGAAAACTACCACCTTTAAGTAAACATAAAAATGAGAAAGTTGGACCAAAAAGTAAAACTGATTTGTCAACATCAATTTTTATTGATGAATGTAGAGTTAGATTGAATGGATATGATGACCAAGACTAAAAAGATGTAACCTTCATGAAAAGTCAAGCAATTCGACTTAAAAGACAACAGCAGTAATGTTTTGGAGTAGTATTGTTATCCCTAAAATGACAGGTCTCTTCAAATCTGACGGTAGTGTCAAAATAAATACAAAGAATTCTTCTTGAGAAAGACGCTTTTTGAGTTCCAAACAATAAGCTTTTAGCTAAAGAGTTTTATATGCAGGACAATGCACTTTCGCTGATCACCTTGGCACAAAACGTTTCCAAAAACATCAAATTAATGGAATGTCCTCCAGCACATCAGATATTAATCCAGTAAACCGTCTAATAGTATATCATTAAAATGGCTAATTGATTTGTTTTTTATGGGTTATCAACCCTCTGTGGGTTTTTTAAAGCCAGGATTATATTCCGGATTGTAGAAGGTTGCTTAAAGTACCCGATGTTATCAAGAATAACTAAACATGACTATTACGAAGCGTTCAGATTCTCCAAAAATATAAATAAAATTTAATCGTTTTTAAAACCAATTTTATTTTTTTAAATTTTAATATTCTTTATTTTCTTTATAGAAACTCAATATGAAGTAAATATTAAATATAAAAGATTTTAAAAGAAAAGAAAAATTAGATTTAAATAATTGAATTTGTCAAGTGTATAAAGTGAGTGTGTCTATGTAAATATCAGAACTTTCTGAAAAGGAAAGAACAAATAGTTACTAATCTAATGTGTTTATTATTGTAATAAACAAAACAATGTTTATATGTTAGCAACATTATTATGATATTGTAGGGTGTGCGGGTGGTGTAACGGTTATCAGCGCAGAGAATTCTGCTATATTCGTCTGCGTGCATTTTCGCACAAATAGCCTTGAGAAAAGCACGAAACTTTATCTTCTCTCCCCAAATATGGGTTAAATATCAAAATAGAATGGCCTCTCTACCCTTGGGTAGCAACCACCCTAAGAGAAGAAAAACAAATTAATTCCAAATCGTGGAGAGGTAAACGGGAAACAACTCCCTTATATTTCCTAAGAATGCATAGCAATTCGCTGAAAATAAAGAAAAACTAATCTAGGAAGAATCGTGCTCTCCGACGTCCTGAAGAGATTTAGCATTTTTATGATGATGCCAAACAAGCCGGGGCTAGTGCAATTGTCACATCAATAGGCAAAAACACACAAATACCCTCTTCAAAGAACGTTGATTACAATACAAACGCTTTTACATACCTTTAAAACTATCCATTCATTAACTATCTCTCTAAAAGTTTAAAAATAACCCTATATATATACGCATAGATGTGCATAGATACATATGTAAAGAATTAATAGATTTATTTTTAATCCGATATTTTTATTACTTCCGACGTTATTATAATTGATACTCGTATGGACGCCCATTTTTATTTTAAGCGGGCGTCTATTTAATATACGGGTATCTACTATAATCACGTTTGAAATAATAAAAATGTCGGATAAAAAATAAATCCATTAATTCTTTAGAAAGTGCTTTGTTTACGTTTTGGATATGAAATGGAGCAGATATGGACGTTCAAGAAAAATAATCTGACGCGTACTTTCTGAAAAAAAAGTAAAATGGTACGTTGCTGAACAGTGACATTCTCTGTAGTCGATGGGTAAAAAACATGCTGGATATATATATATATATATATATATATATATATATATATATATATATATATATATATATATATATATATATATATATATATATATATATATATATATATATATATATATATATATATATATATATATATATCACTTGGGAGTTTGTTTACATTTGTAAAAACAATACGCTAGATTTGGCCGACGCATTCTGTCGAGTGAAAATGGGTCTGTGGTAGAAACTCTGACTAACACCAAATCGGTTGGGTTTCGATCCGGCTTAAGACATTCGGTTGTCTAGTCGCACTGAATAGCTGCGAAACAGTACTCACACGCACATATATATATATATATATCAACAAACATATATCATTAAATATAACAGACAATGAATGAGCAGTTCGAATGTCTGCTTTAATTCCTGGTGAAAATAAAGACAAAAATTGTCCAGCATTTGCATATTTTTATTAAGTGGGTCCTAAGCTTTTGGCTCACATGTTGAACAATTTTTGTCTTTATTTTAACCCGAAATTGAAGCAGACATTCGAACATTAGAACAACTCATAATCAGACATAATAGACATTCATTGTCTGTTATATTTAATAAGATATGTTTAAATAATGATCTGCTGCACCAATACATTAAGTTCACACACACACACACACACATATATATATATATATATATATATATATATATATATATAAGCATTTCACCCCAAGCAAAGCGCAAGTGTCCCTATTACACACGGGGCTACAGAGATTGTAAGTGAAAGGACTGGATATGAGGGGGGAGGCGGATAATAAAATGAAAGACGGAGAAGGATAAAAAAACAGGGATCACGACAACAGAAAATGTCGATCGACATTACATTTAAATATTTGAAGATTATAGTTATCATCGAAATAAGTAAGAGGAATGGAGTTCCACTGTCGTGAAGTGCGAGAGAAGCTGTTGGAGTAGAAGTGGCGGTTACATTTAAATGTTTGGACAGTAAGAGGGTGGGACCGAGATGCCAACCTAGTAGCACGCTTAAATTCGTGCAGTCAAGGCACCAGTGAAAATAGCTGATCAGAGCAGATGCCATGAAAATATTTATAGAAAAGACAGAGGGAAGCCAAATTACGTCGGTGAGAAAATGACTGGAATCGAGACCCCAAGTCAGGATTGATCACATTGAATATCTGTCTTTTGTCGAGAACCTCGAGATGAATAGCGGGGGGCACCAGACCATATATGGCAACAGTCTTCCATGCATGGACGAATGATAGATTTGTAGATGTGGAGGATGGACTCAAACGAGAAAAAACTTCTGGCGTGACACAGAGAACCAACTTTCCTTATATGTCTTTATAATAGCCTCTATAATATACAAGCACATTGACAATGAAGCCTATCATGCAATTATGGCCGAGTGGCTTGCCCAGAATTCTCTTGTTCTTCGATCATTGTAACATGCATTTTTATCCTAAAGTTCACCCAATAAAAGGCTCAAGAGCCACTCATAGTAGAGGTTTACTGAATGAGGTGCGTGAAATGAATGAAAGAAGAGGTTGTGAGAAGTGAAGATTATGAGGATAACGATTGACCCTTGACTTGAAGTGGTTGAGACTGTAGTGTTCAGGGAAGCATCCACGCGGGAGTCTTTGCCTCAAAGTAACAGTTTTTGGGAAATGCTAAGTATAACCCCCTCCTTAGAAATGAAATACGAGGAAAAGATGGATAATCCGACTTCATCGACGATGTGCCGAAAAATATTATAAAGAATACAGCGCAGGAAAGTGCGGGTTCGTGCCTTTTCCTAAGAGTGTTAGTAGAAAGTGATTTGAACTCGTTTCGCGGATTCCATTTTTTGTACCGATGACCCTGGCATTGCCCACACACAGACATGAAGATAGATAGATAGATAGATAGATAGATAGATAGATAGATAGATAGATGTTCATATCTGCCAGCCCTGATAATTTGTTTATTGTCGGCTGCCATTTTCGCCGACGTTATTTCGACAACAGCGCCATCTATCACTTTCCTTCCTAGCATTCCCTGTCCTCGTCTCTTCGTCATTTTTTAACTCTTCCTTTTATCTTGTCTTTTTTTGCCTTTCATTTCTCTTCTTTGGCAACAACAAAGCGTCTTCCTCAACTCGCATGCACTTCCCTCTATTCTCTCTCTCTCTCTCTCTCTCTCTCTCTCTCTCTCTCTCTCTCTCCCTATCTCGCTTGGTCTCTCTCTCATTCTACGTCTATCTCTCACTCTCTCTCACTCTCTCTCTCTCTCCCCTATATTCGGACAATAAACAAGCAGGTCCGCATCTTCACTAGAAGCAACTTCAGCTCTGTCCATTTTCCCATCTGCCTCTGTCTGGGAGACAGCGTTTGGTGAACCGTGAGCCGTAGCTATGCCGACCCAGAAATTAACCCCTGAAGGGGAAAGTTTTTAATCAAAATGCCGTCCATCGGAACTGGCCCGTGGCCAGTTTGATCGGTATCAGAGGAGCCGATATAGCAGCACCTTGGCGACGCTACAGAAGAACGGACAGGAGATTCACACAACCATTGCACACCGATGAAGAAATCCTGTCGGAATGAATTGTCCGAGCTGACATTGGTTATTGAAGCAGTCAGGGAATGCCAGCCATTTTGAATAGAACAGGGCATTCAACTTGCAAAAGATATTTGAAGAACGAAATCAGGTAAGAGTGAGTAAACAGACATCTATAGATAGATAGATAGATAGATAGATAGATAGATAGATAGATAGATAGATAGATTACAAACAAAAGAAAGCAAGAAAAGAAAGAAAATTATGTTACATGCATACATACACACACACACATATATATATATATATATATATATATATATATATATATATATACAATATATATATATATGTATATACAATATGCAATTTATATTTGTATTTCTTTGTTCTTTTGGGGTGGGGTGCTTTGAGTGTAAAATTCCGCGAGAATAATAAACATATAAAACAGTTTGGAAGACACTTATTTTGACATGTTTCGCCAATTAATTTTCTTTTTCTAATGATTCCGATTAATCATGTCAAAACAGAAGTTTACAAAACTGTTTTATAAATTTTCTTCTACATGCATATATATATGTGCGTGTGTGTGTGCGCGCGCGCGCGAGCGTGTGTGTTTATTAGATTAGTACGACAGTACGTAGCATAAATTTTGTACAATATTTATGGATATTTTACAGCCTATCTTATGGTGTATCTTTGAGATTTACCAACCTCTTTTGATTCTTATACAAATAGAATCTTTAAGAATTAATTCAGGATATCCAGTCGTTTCCCTTACTTACTGTAGTGGGATTGATTAGGCTAATATTAATTAGCATAACCATACGACTATATATAGGCAGAACGACGACGAGAAAAAAGTCATTTGTGACGACGACGACGACGACTACAATTGTGCGTAGATCAACTTCATAACAAAATGGTGGCACTGAAGGAAACTATGTTGGATTTGGAAAACCCAGAAGAGGTTATTATCTGGTTAAAGTGTATTTCAGGCAATGGCCAGAATGAAGAGATTAGCGGATGACCAAAAGCAGAAACAAATCACTGATTTATTTATGGCCCCCGCAGGATGTAAACCATTAGGCAAGTGTTCTTAATGACTTACCCAGAGGAAATTGAAACTTTAAAGACATTAAGAACATAATTTTAAAGACTATCCAACCAAAAAAAAAAAGATTGGTCGTTGCTGAAAGGACCAAACTTCTAGCGTTAAAACAAGAAGCTGTAGAACCTATTAGGAAATATCCTCAGTAGACTAAGAGATACTAGTAGATATTGTGACTTTAATGAACTTGGATGAAAAGGAATAACAACAGAAGAGGAATTGATTCACCTTCGACTGGTAGAAGGATTATACAATACTACGCAAAGACTTAAAACTTTGGAGAGGTTGCAATCCAATAATATGAATTTGGAAGCGTGTATTGAATTTATACAGCAGAACATGTTGATTGAAAAATATAATAACAAAAAAAAAACAAGAAGAAATGATGGAAATATGTGCCATTAAGAAAAAATAAAATCAAAATTCAAATATTGCAGCTATGAACATGAGTCAAAAAGAGAAAAATATCCCGCATGGGGAAAGATTTGTGATAAGTGTAAAAAAAAGAATCATTTTAAAGCTGCTTGTAAATGGCAAAGTAACAATGTAAAAAATGTGGAAATAGTACAGGACGGAAGAAAAAAATCAAACGGATATTTTTGTGATAGAAAAGAAAAACAAAAGGAATACATTCAAGAATATAAAGTTGAATGGTATAAATTTAAACATGCAAGTCGACACAGAAAGGGAGGTAACTCTCATTCCTAGAAATTTTGGGTAAAAATTAAGGAGACCGAAGTTAAGAAGAAGCCCACTAAGACTAAAACAATTCGATGGAACCTGTATCAAAACAAGTTCTTTTCAAGGGACATTTCAAAGAACAAAGAGATATGAAACAATCACCATCATAGTAGTGGTTTGTATAAAAAGTCATGGCCTAATAGGTACTGACTTAGTAAGTGTTGATAGTACACAATTACTGAATGCAGTCAATGTTAGAAGTTTTGAAACAGGAATATTAAAAAAATATAAAGCAAGCATTAAGCTAAAAAGAAATGTTACACTGTCATATTTTCAAAGTCGTAGGCTTCCCATACATATAAAACCAATAATGATTGAGAAGCTAAACAAATGGTAGAAGAAAGAATACTTCAATTTGTTGATCCAGGAGGCAGTAAATAGGCATCCCCTATTGTTGTCATAAGGAAACCTAATGGTGATGTTAGGGTGTGTGGTGATTACAAGGTAGGTGTGAATCACAAAATTTGTTCAGATTCATATCCTATACCAAATGTAGAAAACATATTGCATTTCTTTCCAGGAATGAAATATTTTGCTAAAATCGATTTAAAGTATTAAAATCCAAATAGACGACGAATTCAAAGACGTTACGACAATAAACTCGCCCATAGGCTTATTGAGATGGATTCGCTTACCATTTGGAGTTAAGACAGCCAGTTCGATTTTTCAGAGAACCATGGAAAATCTACTAGAAGGAAAAATAAAAAATATAATAATATACCAGGATGATATTGGGTAAGAATTAAAACAGAAAACTAAAATGGTAATGAATATACTCAGAGATGCAGGAATGACTTTAAACGAGGATAAATGTATATTCAAGTGCAAGAATTAATTTTCTTGGGATATCAAATCTCAGAGGAGGGTACTTCACCGGACTCAAGGTTGATACATTAAATATTGAATGTTTCGCCTCCAAATAATAAGAAAGAGTTGGAATCATTTCTTGGATTAGCTAATTTCTATAGCAAGTTTTTACCAAAATATTCAGAAAGAATTGAACCTTTTGCTGATTTACGAAAGAAAAATAAGGAGTTTCAGTGGACTAATATTCACCAAAAAGCCTTTGTTAAATTGAAGTTAGCATTATCCAAGAAACCGGTTGTCAAGATTTTTTACCCTAAAAAAGAAGTCACCTTAACAACAGATGCAAGTGGACAGTCTGTATCAGCAACTTTGTCACGGGAAGGACGCAAAGTGATGTATCTTTCCAGGAAGTTAACGCCAGCCGAAAAGAACTATTCAAATATTGAAAAGGAAGCATTGGCTATAGTATGGAGGACTAGAGCAAGAGATTTTTTGTTAGGGAAAAAGGTTTTGCTCAGATTGGATCATAAACCGCTAGAATTTATATTCCATCCCAGAAAAGAATTGCCGATGGTCACATCGTCAAGGATACTAAGATGGGCAATGAAGTTAATGGCCTTTGACTACGAAATAGAATATGTGAAAGGAAACACGATCCTACACGTAGATGCACTATCACGACTGCAGCTTGAGGAGGGACAACACAAGAAAAATGAGAAAGTGGAAGATGGAATTTTACATTGGGTAGAGACCGATGCATTGTCCATTAATAGATTCATGATAGAAACTCTACAAGATCCAGGATTGAATAGGATTGTAGAGAGAATAAGGAACAACAAATGGAGTAATTGTTCTAAAGTTGATAGACCGTACAAAGAGATCAGACATAAATTGGCAACAGAGAATGGCATAGTTTGTAATGGAGATCTGGTGGTACCACCAGAAAGTTGTAGAAGACAGGTAATCAAAAGTGTGCATGATGATGTGCATTGCGGAATAGGTGCTACACAAAAACGTGTAAAATTGGAAGTCTGGTGGCCCGGTGGCCCGGTGGCCCGGTGGCCCGGTGGCCTGGTGGCCTGGTCACACTCATGATGTGTAGACGTACGTAAATAAATGTCCTAAATGTGCGGAGATAAAAAAAAATCGACAGAACAAGACAGATTCGTGACCAAAAGAAACTGGACTATAGTCCAGGGTTCACATGGACCATGCTCATGTGAATGGGACAGGATTGTGTCTGATATTGGTGGATGCGTTTTCGGCATGGCCGAAGTTTTTAGGGTTCAGGATAGAAAATCAAATACAATACAACAAATTTTACGAATAGTCTTTGCCAGGAATGGCGTACCAAGGACATTGGTAACAGATAATGCTCCAGCGTTTTGTGATGAAAACTTGTGTTCATGGTTATGAAACATTGGATGCATACCGTATAAAACCCGTCCTTATCATCCGCAATCAAATGGAGTGTATAGTGCAAACCATAAAAATAGAATTAAAAGCGTTCTCCCCACAGCATGAAAGAATCGTAAATTATCTACCAAGATTGTTATTAAGTTATCGTACAATACCTCATGCCGGAAGATTACAAAGTGCATCCGAGTTAATGGAAAAACAAATTAGAACACCATTAACAATGTCATACTCAAAGAATAAGAAGATATGGTACAAGAGAAACGGGGAAGAGGAGCCAGAAAATGTTAGGTTTGTAATGCAGAAGGGGCAGAATACAGCGTTGGTTTCCAAGAATGGTAGAGGTTATATTGGTGCATGCTGACCAACT